AAAAGAGTGTAGCAGGAAAAGCAGAGGACTGGTCTCAAGTTGCACATGGGGAAGTTTCAATTGGATATTAGGAAGAATTTCTTGACTGAGAGAGTGTTTGGGCACCAGAAGGGGCTGCCCAGGGAAGTGGTGAAGTCATCATCCCTGGAGGTGTTCAAAAATCATGTAGATGTAGCACTTGAGGCTGTGGACTAGTGGATAGGGAATGGTGGGACAGTGGTTAGACTTGATCCTGGAGGTCCTTTCCAACTACAGTGATTCTGTGATTCTTTTGGACAGTGAGAGGCCTTGTTGCTGGCCAGAAGGACCCAGGCACCCCCAATATGCATGGTCTGCAGAAAAGGACCTGCAGAGTTGATTGACAGCTGGGTGAATGTGAGCCAGCAGTGTGCCCAGGTGGCCAAGAAGGCCAACAGCAGCCTGGCTTGTGTCAGAAATGGTGTGGCCAGCAGGACTTGGGAAGTGATAGTCCAACTGTACTCATGACTGGTGAGGCTGCACCTCAAAGATTGTGTTCAGTTTTGGGCCTCTCCCTACAAGAAAGACATTGAGGTGCAGGAGCACATCCAAAGAAGAGTAACAAAGCTGGTGAAATATCTAGAGCACAGGCTGTAGGAGGAGAGGCTGAGAGAACTGGGGTTGTTTGGCTTGGAGAAAAGGAGGCTGAGGGGAGACCTTATCATTCTCTACAACTACCTGAAAGGAGATTGTAGCGAGGTGGGGGTTGGTCTCTTCCCCCATGTAACTAGTGATAAGACAAGAGGAGATGGCCTCAAGTTGCACCAGAGGAGGTTTAGGTTGGATATTAAGAAAAATATCTTTACCAAAGGGGTTGTGAAGCCCTGGAACAGGCTGTGCAGGAAGTGATGGAGTCACTGTCCCTAAAAGTATTTAAAAGATCTAGATGTGGTGCTTAGGGACATGGTTTCATGGTGGGCTTGGCAGTGCTGGGTTAACAACTGGACTCAATGATCTTAAAGGTCTTTTCCAACCTAAATAGTTCTATGATTTTCAGTCTCTTGCAGCAGAACAACAGCTTCCATATAACAGATCACTTGAGTTTTGTGAACTGATGTGATTTCTCACACTTTCGCCTTTAGATTTGATTCTTGAACTGTGTCTTCATATTCATATCCCTAACCGTCATTTATGAAGGGGCAGCAGAACATCTACTTTTTCTGTTTCAACAAAAATCCAGAGAAAACCTGTGATAACTGTGTGATATTTGAATACACTGGGTTTTTTTCCCTTCAATTCTTAATAGTGTGATCTTCTAATGTCTGTTACAGGTGAACTGAAGGAAATTAAACAGGATATCTCAAGTCTCCGATATGAACTGCTTGAGGAAAAATCTCAAAATTCTGAAGATCTGGCAGAACTTATAAGGAAACTTGGGGAGAAACTGTCAAATAACTCTAAAGAAGAAGAAAGCAAGAGATAACCTAAATGTTTAAGAAATGCCACAGAACTTTAACAATTGACTTAAAGCCATATTTCTTTTTTTCCCAAGTCTAGCTCACGTTTCTACAATAGATTCAGAAATTAAATTGTTCCAATTCTTTATTGAAAAGCCACAGTGGCAAATCCTCTGGGTCTATGGTAGGGAGGAGATACCACTTGAGTAAAAATATTTGTTCTTTACCTGGTGAAGAAGAGTTAATTTGAGATAATTTAAATATTCAATTTACCTCTTTAAGAATTTCAGTGGAATCTTGATAAACCCAGACATGAAAGATTAAAAGCAAAAATCTAAACTGTCCTTACATTAACTGGTTGGTTTTGCAAATTTCCTTTTGTAGACATTGTTACTTATATTTTAGTGAAGCAAAAGAGGGAGGCATTTGTATGTATTTATACTGAAAGCTATTTAATTTTACAAACATTCCCAACTAGGGGGAAAAAAAAAAAGCTAACTGCTTTTATTAAAAATATGCAGAATATTACAGTAATTTATGTGAATGTTTCCTTGAAGAAGTAGATATCAGAATACCCAGAGCACTGTGTTACAGTTTTCCCTACTTAACCCTGTCACCACTGGAGTATCCTGAAAGATACTTAGGTTCCAGTGGGAGTTAGTGCATTAAGAAAGAAATATTTTTCACCAGGTTTATTGAAAAGCTATTGCTGACACCTGAAGAAAACTTCTTTAATTGAAAATAATTAATCCTTTTAAATTCTAATCTGTTCCATAATTCCCAATGAATGTCTTGAACTAAACTCACAAACTGCCAGGTAGGGATTTGAATGCAAAGCTGGTAACGTATTTATTTAAGGTGGAAGATATTGGTGCAAGCCCTCTCTCTCTGAATTCCAGGAATATCGTGGATGGGGACCATGTTTCCCCAGAGTTAAACTTGTTTAAATCATCAGATTTTGTTCAGATCTATACTTAGCAAACAAAAACATGTTGTTCCAAAAATTAGTGAAATCTCATTTTCTATGGATTTGCATCTCTTGTCCTTTTTTTCCACTGGAGAAAGCTCAGCTCTTGTGCTGTATCCCCTAGGACTCCTTCAATGAAGAATCTTCACTCCATGCCATCAGCAGAAGCCTCCAACATTTCCACACTGCCCAGGACAATAATTCTTCTATGTCTCTGTCTGTTGAACTGGACAAGAGGCAGCCCATGCCACGTCTGGCTCATAGCTGTGCGACTGGCCAACTAATATGTCCATGACGGACAGTCAGCTGGCTTTTGTCTCTCCAGATACATCCAGGCTGAATTCCATCTATTTTTTCCCTCAGTTAGTACGGTGATTTGGATTTCTCTTTTCTGACAGTCGCCCATACTGGGACTGTTAGAACTATGCATTACACTGGAGATCTCTGCTCCTCTTTAGGCTTGGTTGAAATTAGTGAAAGGGCTGTGAAAAATAGTAACGGGAACATCAAGTTGTGTAACACACTTATAAAAGCCTTCTGTGTTTAGGAAACAAGGCTGAAAGTGGTGTCAGTAATTGCTTTTAAATTAGCTTTGTGAAACTTATTGTGGAATGTATCAGAACGTTTCTGCCTTTTAGGCTGGAGGTTATTTTTTAATGGGTTTAAATTAGTTTCTAGCTGAATTTACTGATCATCCTTTTTTAAAAAAAAAAATAAAATGTTGGTGAAATCACTGTGTATTTTCAGGGGAAAAAAGTGTATTAGAACAGGTTTTGAAATCACACGGAGATAGGTGCAGGCAAGAGGCTGTGTCCTGACTGGAGAGCAATGTAGCCATTGTGGTGGTTGGCCTGCCCCAAGGGTGTTTGTCATGTTTTGAGGGAACTGCTCAGCCTTCTGCTTGGCCCCTTATTTTAGCCACAAATGGAGCGTGTGGGACAGTGTGTCCTGTGGGCCTCAGGCATAATGAACTCAGGGTTTAGACACTTTTAAGGCTTCTTCTTCAGAGGGAGGAGAAGGACAGTGAGATTTTCAAAGGTAATAGAGCAGTTTGTATTTAAAAACACAGTTTGCTCACCTGAAAAACTCTAAGCTACAGAAGAGCCAGCTTCTTAAGTTGCCTGTGATCATGAAAAAGCGTTACCTCATCACCTGCACTATGTCCTGTGGTAATCAGCAGTGGGTACTGCACACTCTGAGAGGACCCAGCTGGCTGGTCTCTGTGTCAGCTCTTGTGTGGAAGAATGAGGGCAGCTGGGGCTGGAGGGCTCCTGGATGGTTCCTGCCCATCTGCCTTGGCCAGGACTGGCCACTGATTTTGAGTGCCTGCTTGAGTATTTTGGGCCTGGTTTTTGAAGCAGTGAGCACTTACTGCAGCTCCTTTGAACAACCACATTAAAGGCCATACTGCTCAAAGCACATCTTCTACCTTTGACAAGCTCTTTAGAAAATGTTGGTCAGAACTTGAGGTAACAAGGACAGTCAAAGTTCACTTTCAGTAATCAAAAGTCTTTATTTTTGGTCATTGTAATTTACAATTTGGATGTGCGGTCTAGTGCTTGATGATGGTAAAACCATCAATCGCTATAAATCCAATATAAGCAAATACATAAACACAGTTTAAGATCCAGGCACTTTTAAAGTGAAGATTTTTATTACAGAGGTAATGGACACTGTGAATTTGTGTAAGCCCAAATTTTGACTTACCTTAAAACTCTAAGATCGTAATGTATAAATTGTATTTCATGAAGAAAATACATATGGATTTTTTTAAATTCAATGAAGATATTTTATATGTAGTTATTACTCATGGAACAATTTGTTAAATATATTTGAAGAGGTCTATTGCTAAATGTAGTGTGACAAGCAATGTAGTATTTAAATTGAGCACAATACCAAATATATTATTCTGATAAAAAAAAAATTAAACGTACCAGACTGAAAATACCTTTGTGATGCATTGTATGAACATGTTGATCCTTCTCTGGGAACCTGTGGCTACTCCTGCTTGGAAGACAGCAGCAAGACAAATACGGTAAAATACTTTCATTTGCTAGTGACACGAACACTAAAACCTTTTACAGGAGAAACAAAGGTCTTTTTATACTTGATTAGACTCAAGGTCAAGTGTTTTGTCTGCTGTGACTAACTGTGAGTGATGTTAAGTATTTCACAACACCTGTAGTAAGTAACATATAATTTTCATCCTACATAGTTCTTCTGATTTCTAGTATGACAAGATTGACATAGCTGTGATGAGGAAGAGTTTCCAGGATTTTTTTTGTGAATTATTAGGATAACAAGATAGTCTTTCTACCTACTAAATTGCTTCTTTATATCCTGTGAATTTTTTGAGCTCAACCATTCACAGTTTCTGCATCAGCAGCTTCCATACCTAAACCAGGCTTATTATGAAGACATATTGCCTTTATAATTTTTTTACCTGAATATTTCTTAAGCTTGAATTATGCAATTATGGTGAGTAGAATCTGTTACCTCTTAGACATTCTCCTTTCTGTTCATGCAAACATATTTCATTAAAAGATATAGAAGGACTTAAGAAATTCCCTGATCAACAAAGCTTGGTCCTAGAGTTTCTCCTGCTCTTCTGGATGAAGCTGAATCATGCCTAGTTATTGGGAAAAAGCCTTATCCATCATGGAGGACTGCAGATTTTAGAGAGTAATAATGCAATGTGAGCTTACGGTACTCAAGATCTATAGTAACACGTCCTGAGTAAGAGCTACAGGGTTCTACATAGATTTAGTTGTTCCAAGTTAAAATCTGCTGTGTTTCACCCTGTCTTAGAGCAATGCAAGGCCAAGCCAATGAATTGTACTAGTTTTAGAAGTCTTATCTACAGGTTCATGTGATTCTGGATGCCAGCCATGAAGACTTCTCTAGACTTTCTGTATATTCAGTGGATAGAAATGGTCAAAGGCATGATTTTGTTTCATCTGACGGTAGACAGATATCGCAGGTGAGTCATATAGTAGAAGTTACTGTGTCTCTCCAGTTATTGTAAAGAAGCCACCATAGCTGTTAGCAATGGTTATAGTGAAGTGTGACAAGTCCCAGCTTGGCAGAAAACAGCAGCCTAGTACACTGCAGAGCCATGACTGTCACAAATGCTTATCTGTGCGGAAGTGCTTGAGATGATTAGGCCAGTCATTGAGAGGGGCAGGATTTAACCTGTGCCCATCCCCTAGGGATGATGGATGAGGATGGTTCTTCTTTACTCGGCAGCAATATTACATTTTTTCCTTCTTCATTAGTGTAACTTTGGGTAGGCATAACTGAACCTGCATCTACCCCAGACATGAGAAAAACTAATTCACTGCGTACATGGCAACTAAATTTTTGTTGATAAACAAAGAGCTTTATGATGAAGAGAAGTTCATATCTCATTTTCTAGTACATTTCGGTGAGCATATATTTTCAGTATTATGTCTTTAAAGTTTACAAAATAGTTCATTCTTGGCAGTACTTCAGCTATAGCAGCTGTATCACGTAATTTACTAAGAACAGGTTCTCATGACTGCAGTGCCCCATAATGAAGTTTAATCCAATGAAATCTTCCACTTGCCTCTCAGGGATTTCCCTGGAGCTTGAAGTTTGTAGCCAAACTTTATAATTAATACATTATAGACCACATAATGTGCAACTGTACTCATTTGCAGAACAGTAGAAATTGTCCTTATGTTGAAAACTGCTAATTTTTCATGTAAATATTTAACGCTTTTTAAAATTCATTAGAAAACGCCTGGTGTGAATAATATTTCTAAGCATTATGTTCCTGCTTAAGTTTTAATTTGGCCTGTGGAAAATAGAATTCATAAATTCCAAAGTTTGTGTTGGAAAAATACTGGTATTTTGGGAGCTCATATCAAACACATTTAAGTGAGACTGAGGAGTGTACCCTAAACTCCATGCACTTAGAAGGCCAGGGAATCTCATGGGATCCACTGGTGTTCCTTGTTGTAAATGACCTTGAGTAGCACAAAATATTTCATTTGTTCTCTTTGTTTCCGTTGTTACAAACCTTAAGTTTCCTATTCC